CTGGGTTTTGCGCAGGAAAAACCCCCCCAAGTTTGTTGTTTGCCGGGACCCGGGTCCGGGACGCCCGTTTGGTGGGGCCGGGCCGCGGCGCCGCCATGGCGCTGCGACAGGCGCTGGGCCGGGGCCTGCAGCTGGGCCGGGCGCTGCTCCTGCGCTTCACAGCCAAGCCTGGTCCGGCCTGCAGCTGGGGGCGCCCCGGCCCGGCGGCGGGCTGGGGCCGCGTAGAGCGCCCGGGCCGGGACGCGGTGCCTGGCGTGCAGCGGCGCGGGGGCGGCTTGGGGCTCCCCGACCGCTACCGCTTCTTCCGCCAGTCGGTGGCCGGGCTGGCGGCGCGGCTCCAGCGGCAGTTCGCGATGCGGGCTCGGGGCGGCGCGGGCCCTCGCGGCCGGGCGGTCTTTCTGGCCTTCGGGCTGGGCCTGGGCCTCATCGAGGAGAAGCAGGCGGAGAGCCGACGGGCCGCCGCGGCCTGCCGGGAGATCCAGGTGAGCGCGCTGGAGCCGGGCCCCCGCACGACTAGAGCGGGGCCGTCTGGGCGCGGGCCTGGAGCCAGCGGCGGTGGGACTGGAGTGGGGGCGGTCCTGGGGGCGGAGCCTGAGCCCGTGGGCGGTGCGGGCATGGGGTGTGGGCGTGGCGGTGGGCGGGCCCTTAGGCGGAGGGATGCGGCGTGGGCGTGGCGGTGGGCGTGGCCCTGAGCTGCGGAGCAGGGCGGGGCGGGGGCTGACGGTTCTCGTTTATTTCGCCTAATATGGGGCCAGTACCGCCCACTTCTTTTACTGTTTCCCTGCCTCTCCCAGTTGTGGTTCCAGTTTTCTAAAATTCGACGATCGCTAAATCATAGCATTCCTATCCCTGGCGGTAGGTGTGGTCCCCAGTCTATGGAGGAGAAAGCGCTCAGGTAGTGTGACTTCCCCAAGGTCACACAGCCGCTGTCCCCTTCGCCGATACCCAGGCTGCCCCGTTTAGCCGCTCAGCTCCGACGTTCTAGGTAACCTGTGCGGAGCTCCCAGGCCGCTTCTCCTGCCAACCCAGCCAGTGAGCCGCGTGTTTAGAGCGGTTTATTTTAAGGCCTTGGCTCACGGCAGGTGCACGTGTCAGTCTTGCCGCATGCCCCCCAGGCCCTCTGCTGGCAGAATTCCCTTTTCCAGGGAGGTGCGATTTCTCACCGGCTTCGGAACCACTCCTTGCGTTGGTGCAGCCCCTGTGTCCTGGAGGTGGAAGCAGACGGTGACAGCGGGTGGGCCGAGGACCAGTCGGGGTCTCGCTGTCTCCTGCTTTCCAATCCTGATTCCTCATCGCCATAGCGTCTGGTCTTTGCGCCTCGGGCAGTCTGGGTGACAGGTGACATCAGCCTCGTCCCCAGCCCCTGTCCTTGTCTTCTGCCACAGGCAGCCGCTGATGGAAACCTTGGCAAATCTTGCCTGAAACTGAAGGGACTTGGTGGTCTGAGGGACCCCGCCTCCCAAGCCGCAGTTCCTTCTCCTGAACTCACACTTCCCCCTCCTGTGTGTGTGTGTGTTTGACAGGCAGAGTGGACAGTGAGAGAGAGAGACAGAGAGAAAGGTCTTCCTTTTGTCGTTGGTTCACCCTCCAATGGCAGCTGCGGCCAGGACCGCGCTGATCCGATGGCAGGAGCCAGGTGCTTCTCCTGGTCTCCCATGGGGTGCAGGGCCCAAGCACTTGGGCCATCCTCCACTGCACTCCCGGGCCACAGCAGAGAGCCGGCCTGGAAGAGGGGCAACCGGGACAGAATCCGGCGCCCCAACCGGGACTAGAACCCGGGAGAATTAGCCTAGTGAGCCGCAGCGCCGGCCCACCCTCCTGTGTTTTAAAGTCTCTACTTAGTTACCATTTGTTCCTATCACAGAATTCAGGGGTTGGATTTCTTTTGAACAGGATCAGCGGATGTTGCCATTCTAGTGCTAAAGTTCCACCTGGCGCCGCTCGGGGATAGAATAGTGGCTGCTGCCTTTAGATGGAGCTGTGTTTAAAAAAAGGAAAAAGAGGGCCTGGCGCTGTGACATACAAGGTAGAGCCTCCGCCTGCAGCGCCGGCATCCCATATGGGCTCTGCTTCAAGTCCAAGCTGCTCCTCTGATCCCGCTCCCTGCTTCCTGGCCCAGGAAGAAGAACTGGTTTCGGTCTGACCCAGCCCTGACCATTACAGCCATTCGGGGAGTGAACCAATGGATAGAAGATCTCTGTCTCTCCCTCTCTTTCTCTCTGTAACTCTTTCAAGTAAATAAAATGAATCTTGAAAATAAAAAAGTCAGGGGCCGGTGCTGTGGCACAGCAGGTTAACACCCTGGCCTGAAGCGCATCCCATATAGGCGCCAGTTCAAGACCCGGCTGTTCCACTTCCAATCCAGCTCTCTGCTGTGGCCTGGGAAAGCAGTGGAGGATGGCCCAAGTCCTTGGGCCCCTGCACCCACGTGGGAGACCTGGAAGAAGCGCCTGGCTTCAAATCGGCGCAGCTCCAGCCATTGCGGCCAACTGGGGAGTGAATCATCAGATGGAAGACCTTTCTCTCTCTCTCTCTGCCTCTCCTCTCTCTGTGTAACTCTGACTTTCAAATAAATAAATCTTAAAAAGAAAAAGAAAAAAGTCAAAACTCGGATGTAAGATAGGTAAACGGCACGAACGTGTTTGTCCAGGGGGCGAGTCAGACGGCGAGTTGGTGTGTGCGAAGGTGGGCGGCACCAGTGGCCATTGAAAAAGTGCACAGGTAACAGAAGAGCCCAAATTAAAGCCAGCGAAAATACCAACTGCTGGGCGGTGAGGATACAGAGACAGCGGATTGCTCGGCCATTGCGGATGGGCATGGACAATGGAGAAGAACTTGGCAGTTTACTGTCAGAGTGAACATGGATCTACCTTACAACCCGTTGCTGCAGTCTTGGGCATTTACCCAGGGGGACAACAACATGTTCCTGCAAAGACTGTACAAGTCAGCTGCGCTGGAAAACTCTGGTGGTTCCTCAGAAGATTAAAGGAGAATCAAGCCTGGCTCCTCACTTGGCTTCTGAGGGTGTGCCGGAAGACATGGAAGCCGGGACAGGAACCCTTGCTCACGGCAGCACCACTGTTGATGTGGTCCAAAGGCAGAAGCCGCCCGCGTGCCCGTCACTGGATGAGTGGACACACAGAGCGTGCCCTGTGTGGGGTGTTATTCCGCCTTGACAAGGGAGGAAGTGCTGCGGCAGTGCTGTGCTGGCATCCCACATGGGCGCCGGTTCACGTCCCGGCTGCTCCACTTCTGACCCAGCTTCCTGCTAATGCGCCTGGGAAAACAGTGGAAAACGGCCCAAGTGCTTGGGCCCCTGCACCCACGTGGGAGACCCAGAAGAGGCTCCTGGCTCCTGGCTTCGGATCTGCCCAGCTCTGGCTACTGCGGCCATTTGGGGAGTGAACCAGCAGATGGAAGACCTCTCTCTCTGTCCCTCCCTCCATGTAACTCTGCCATTCAGATAAATAAATCTTGGAAAAGGGAGGGAATGCTGACCTTGCCCTACAAGGATGAACTTGGAGATGAGCTGCGGGCAGTAAGCGGCGATTCCACTCCTGGAGGTCCCCAGAGCATCGGGCACAGAGACAGAAAGGGCAAGGCTGGTTCCCGGGCGCTGCGGAGGGCACTGGGCAGTTCCTGTTCACGGGGCAGAGTCTCCATCTTGCAAGGCCAACTAAGTTCAGGAGATGGATGGAGGTGCACGACAGTGTGAACGAGCTTAGCGCTGTGGGCTGGACCCTTCAAGATGGCTCACGTGGCAGCTCTGATGTTCACTGCACGATGAAATGCCCTGAAAGCTCGATTCATAAAGCCGAAATACCGGAACAACCCGGATGGCCCTGACGCGGGGATGCCACACAAGCGGTGCGTCCATAATGAAATACTCTGAGCCGTGAAGACGAGGAAGCAGCTGTGGATCCGGGTGACCGCCTCACTGAGCCTCGAGGGCGTTATTCTCAGTGAGAAACGTCCCAAGGGCTTACACACCAGAGGGTCCATGCCCATACGTTCCCTCCAGGCCGGAAGTGTGGAGAGGGAGGGCAGCTCAGGGGGCCCGGGACAGGCTGAGAGCAGTGTGAAGGGCCCCTCCCCCGTCCATGGAGCAGTTCTACATCCTGACGGGTGGTGGTGGCAGGAATCTGTACATGGGGTACAGTTGCTTTGGGACACACACACACACACACACACACACGCAGTGCAGGCTAAAAAAAGTGACGGGCTGGCGTTGTGGCATAGCCAGTTAGGCAGCCACGTGCAATGCCGGCATGCCAAATGAGTGCCAGTTTGAATCTTGGCTGCTTTACTTTTTTTTTTTAAAGATTTTATTTATTATTTATGTGAGAGGTAGAGTTACAGACAGAAGAGAGAGAGAAAGGTCTTCCATCTGCTGGTTCACTCCCCAAATGACCGCAACGGCTGGAGCTGGCCATTCCGAAGCCAGGAGCCAAGAGCTTCTTCTGGGTCTCCCACATGGGTGCAGCGGCCCAAGCACTCGGGCCATCTTCCACTGCTTTCCCAGGCCATAGCAGAGAGCTGGAGCAGAAGAGGAGCAGCTGGGACTTGAACCAGTGCCCATATGGGATGTCAGCGCTACAGGCAGAGGAGATTAACCTACTGTGCCAAGTGCTGGCCCTGCTCCACTTCTGATCCAGCTCCTTGCTCGTGCACCTGCACCCACTCAGGAAACCCAGGTGGAGTTCCAGACTCGTGGCTTTGAGCCAGCCCAGCCCCGGCTGTTGGAGCCATTTGGGGTACGAACCAGTAGATGGAAGATCAGTTGATATTTCTCTCTCTCTCTCTCTCTCTCACTGCCTTTCAAGTAAGTCAATCAATCAATCTTAAGAAGGTGATGACGGAGTAAACTCTTGCTGGTTTCGATACTGTGCTTCTGCTACGTGAGCTGTCACCATCGGAAGCCGGGCAAAGGGTACAGAAACACTTTGGACTGGGTTGTGGTTGTTTTTGTCACTGCCTTTGAGTCTATTAATTATTTCAAAGAAAAAAGTTTAAAGAAAAACAGGAGTGGGCATTTGGCCCCGCAGGTAAGACAGCCGTGTCTCGGAGTGTGCAGTGGGTACCAGCTGTGACCCTGACTCTGGCTTCCTGCTGGCGCAGACCTGGGGGGCGGCAGGTGATGGCCCAGTGATTGGTCTCCTGCCACCCACACAAGAGGCCTGGATTGAGCACCTGGCTTCAGCCCTGGCCCAGCCCCGGCAGAACATTTGGGAGTGAACCAGAGGATGGGAGCATTTTCACTTACTCTCACTCTGTTTCTCAAGTAAGTAAAAAATGTAAAAAAAAAAAAAAAGTAAATAGTACTTTTTTTTTTTTTTAAGATTTTATATCTTTCTTTCAGAGGTAGAGTTACAGACAGAGGGAGAGACAGAGAGAAAGGTCTTCCATCCACTGGTTCACTCCCTGGATGGCCGCAATAGCCGCAGCTGGGCTGATCCAAAGCCAGGAGCCAGGAGCTCCTTCTGGGTCTCCCATGCGGATGCAGGGGCCCAGGGACGTGGGCCATCCTCCACTGCTTTCCCAGCCCATACAGGAGCTGGATCAGAGGAGGAGCAGCTGGGACATAAACTGGCGCCCATATGGGATGCCGGTGCTGCAGGCGGAGGCTTAACCTACTACATCATAGTGCCGGCCCCGAATAGTGCTTTAAAAAAAAAAAGCTTAAAAATATGCCTCCTTTTCAAAGCCGTAGTTGGTACAGAATTGCTCCACAAAATACTGCTTGGGGCCGGCAGTGCCAGCATCCCATATGGGCACCGGTTCTAGTCCAGGCTGCTCCATTTCTGATCCGGCTCTCTGCTGTGGCCTGGGAAAGCAGTGAAAGATGGCCCAAGGCCTTGCGCTCCTGCTCCCATGTGGGAGGCCCAGAAGAAGCTCCTGTCTCCTGGCTTCAGATCGGTGCAGCTCCAGCCATTGCGGCCACCTGGGGAGTGAACCAGCAGATGGAAGACATCTTTCTCTCTCTCTTGCTCTCGCTCTCGCTCTGCCTCTGCCTCTCTGTAACTCTGCCTTTCAAATAAATAAATGAATCTTTTTAAAAAATACTGCTTCCTATTCATTTGTAAACGACTAGGAAAGGGAAGATAGACTTGAATTTTATTAAAACGTTCAAAGTTACAGTGCTAAGTATGTTAGCTTATAGAGTGAATTTGTGACTCTGGTGAGCCAGGCAGAGGAAGGCTGTAGAAGTGGGCTCAGAGGACGGCGTGAGCACTGGTGCAGAGAGGGGCTGCGCGGGACCAGTGCCACCACCACGCAAGGCAGCCTGGCACGGCACCAGGATAGGTGTCGGAGAACCTGGCAGCAGGTGTGGATGGCACAGGGACACGGGAGAGCAGCACAGATCAGTCTGGTTCAGAAACCGTGAAGGCGTAAGCATGGGAGGCCTGGAGATGGGTGCCCGGCTACAAAGGTGGGTGCGCCCTCGTGCCCACGGTGACTGATGAGAGTCGGGAGGGATCGGCATATGAGACTCTCCGAGAGGAAGCAGCGCCTGGGCGGGTGAGGTGACGGCCCTGAGTCTGACGCGGAGGCGAGCCCAGCGTTTCAGGGATAGGCTGTTTCCTTAGCACCACGCAGGGCCCAGCAGCCACCTGCCCCTGGCAGAACCTGTACTGAACCGGGTGACCCACCAGAGGCCCGAGAGGCAGCAACAGCCAGGCAGGGCTGAGTGACTGCTCCGGGGCGCGCCTGGTCTCATCTGCTTGCCTGCCGCGGGGCCAGGGCCAGGGCCCTGTGGGGAGCCGGCTGCACAGTCAGGCGGCTGCAGGACTGCCGGGGTGGGGGCAGCAGAGGACCATGTGTCCCCGGGACTCAGACGTCCTGACCTCGCCCCCGCCACACTGGGCTGTGCCTGTCATCGCGGTGCAGGGAAAGGACGTGAAAATGTGCTCAGGCAGAGTGGCCCGAGCCCCGGGGAGCAGTCAGGCCCGGTGCGGTTGGGTTTTTATGGACTCTGGGACTGTGGGTGTGAGGCCCCTGCCTCGGAACACCTCTCCCCGCCGGCTCTCTTCCTTCCCTTCCCGGCTCCCTGGCTCACGGAGCGCTCTCTCCCTCGCAGGCCATCTTCACCCAGAGAAGCAGGCTGGAGGCCGACCCGCTGGCCGCCAGGCGCCGGCAGGGCTTCCAGCTGGAGGAGTACCTGATCGGGCAGCCCATCGGCAAGGGCTGCAGCGCCGCCGTCTACGAAGCCGCCATGCCCGCCTTGCCTGTGCGCCTGGAGGTGGCACAGGGTGCCCGGCGCCCGGGGAGCGGCCCGGATCCCGCGGCAGCAGGAGCCCAGGAGGCGCACGCTCCCGCCGCCCCTGCCTTTCCCTTGGCCATCAAGATGATGTGGAACATCTCGGTAAGGGCGGCCCTTGCTCTGCCAAGTCGGAGTCACCCACAGCGCGGGGTCTTGGTGGGCCCTGGGGAGGGTCCTCCGGGCGGGAGCTAGGGAACGTGTGGCCCCGCCCCCTCGCCATCTCTCCCGGGGTCCAGAGCTCCCTGTAACCTGTCCGCAGCCACCTGGGACTGAGCAGCTCAGGGTGGGGCCTCGGGTCCTGCCTCTGGAGCCAGCTCCTGGGGGGTGCCAGTGCAATGGGTCTGTGGGCCACGCAGGAGCGAGTGCCCGCACCAGTGGCTTCCAGACCCATCGGTGGGCTCACGTCTGGCTGGCTGTTGCCTGGGACCACCTTGCTGGCGAGGAGCCGGCCCCCCCCCCGCCCCACCCCCACCCCCAGCTGGAGGCCTCGCCTGTCAGCCCCGCTCTCAGCTCTCGAAAGGCCCTGGCAAGTAGAATACTTTCCCCGACATGAGCGTGGGTCTGTCTGTTAGAGGAATCTTTCCCCACCCGTCGAGGTTGGGTTTAGAGAATTAATCCAGACCTGGCGCGCCCCTGCTCAGAACACGCACCCACGGCGGAGGCAGAGAGCGGCCCGGCCCCCGCCCCGCGCTCCACACTGGCGCGTGCAGTTTCTGGCTGGGATGCGGGCCTCGGGGCCGGGAGTGACGAGGCTTGGCTTCCCACCTCACAGCGTTGCCTCCTACGCCTGAAGGTCAGAGCTGGCCCCAGGCACGCGGCCGCGTCTGTGTAACCCTGGTCTCTCCTGCTGCCGCTGCAGGCCGGCTCCTCCAGCGAGGCCATCTTCAGGACCATGAGCCAGGAGCTCGTCCCAGCCAGCCGAGTGGCCCTGGCCGGGGAGTACGGAGCGGTCACGCACAGGTGAGCGCCCCCCCCACCTGGCCAGCTGAATTCTTTGAGAGCCAGGTCATCGCCTGGGTCCCCGCACTCAGCGCGATGCCAGATGTGACACAGCAACAAATGTTTCCCGAATAATTTGATCAGGCGGGTTTTCAGTCGGGGGAGAATTTAGCTTGGCAAAGATTTCAGATCACGTGGCCCCGGCTGATGCAGATGGCGAATTCACATCAGAGCAGGGGAGAAAGGCCACTCGCAAATGCCCAGTTCCAAACGCGGGGGAAGTGGACGAGGCCCCAGACTCCTCCTAAGCGGTGTGCAGCGCCACCTAGTGGCTACGCCCGCGCGCCCTCCACAGGAGGGGCCCGTTGCACCAGCAGCTTCCTGCGCTGCCGGCACCAGGGGAAGGAAAAGCCCAGAGTGCTGTGTCGTGCAAGAGTCCTGCGTGTGGGCAGAGCCCGGCCAGCGCAGCGCAGAGCCAGTGTTGGCAGTGCCAGGGCAGCGTCTGCCCAGGTGCCCGGTAGGCCGTACGCTCCCTGCAGGGCCAGGCCACGCGGAGGGAGCTTGTGCTCCCTGTGGAGGGTGTTCTCAGCTGAGGGAAGAGCCGATTGGACGGTGCACGGCAGCCTGCAGGCCGGGCCGGCTCTGCAAATGCCGGCTGGGTCAGCGGCGCCCCCCAGGGAACTGCCGGACAGCTGCGGTGCTGGTGACGGAGTGGAGGGCTGGCTTTCCCATCTCAGTCCCGCCAGGCGCAGAAGACAGCGACGGGCGGGGATAGGCGTGGAAGAGTCCCGGGTGGCTGAGTCCCTGCTGGGCCCCAGGAGCCGCAGCTCAGCTGGGCGTGGTGCTGCCGCCCTCCCCTCCCCAGCCCTCTGTGCAGGAAACAGCTGCCCAGGGCGGACGTGAATCCTCACTGCTGTGATGTCACCTGCCTGACGCCCCTCTGTCATTTCACAGCATGAATCGTCATCCAGCCCCCCCCCCCCGCCCGAGATTGATTTTCACAGAGTTGCAGAGAAGGGGGGAGTCAGAGTCTTCCATCTGCTGGTTCACTCCCCAGACGGCTGCCATGGCCAGCACTGGGCCAGAGCAAAGCCAGGAGCCTCCTCTGGGTCTCCCACAAGAGTAGGGACCCAACACTTGGGCCATCTTCCACTACTTTCCCTGGCACATTAGCAGAGAGCTGGATCGGAAATGGAGCAGCCGGGACTTGAACTGGCACCCACATGGGATGCCTGCATCACAGGTGGTAGCTTTGCCCACTATGCTACAATGCCAACCCACCATGTAGTCTTTTTAATATTTATTTATTTATTTGAAAGGCAGAGTTACAGAAAGGCAGAGAGAGAGAGATCTTCTGTCCGATGGTTCACTCCCCAGATGGCTACAATGGCCAGAGCTGCGCCAGTCTGAAGCCAGGAGCTTCTTCCAGGTCTCCCACATGGGTGCAGGGCCCAAGGACTTGGGCCATCCTCCACTGCCTTCCCAGGCCATAGCAGAGAGTTGGATCAGAAGTGGAGCAGCTGGGTCTCGAACTGGCGCCCATATGGATGCCAGCAGGCTACAGCTTTATCCGCTACGCCACAGCCAGCCCCCCACCATTTAGTCATAAATCAGACATCTTTGTAGATTCGCTGCCGTCTGGCTGTGCCGTAGGCGCATATCCATGGAGTGCAGGACGGCTGTGGCGGGAGCAGCTCTGCCCCACAAGCCCCCGGGAGTGTCCCCTGCCTGCACCTCCTAGGAGCCCCCCGTGATGTGCACCTCCTGCTTCTCCGTCATCCGTCTGCACTTACCCTCCACTCCGCCAAGCTGCCCCAGGACGGACGGCTCCTGGCGCAGCAGCTTAGCACGTGCGTGGCTGCACCCCCCACCGACTCCCATGTTACTGTAGACCTATTGCCCTTGGAGCAGGCACCCGTCCTGGGGGCTGGTGCCCGGCAGGCAGCCCCTGGGTCTCGGCCAGGATGTCAGCTGGGCTTCCTGGAGCAGGAGTGGCAGGCAGGCAGCTGACATCCCTGCTGCTAACTGCATCTGTGCCCGCCAGTCCTCCCACAGAGGCGGCGCTGGAGCCTGGAATAGGTCAGCTCAGGCCAGGTCCCTGCCTTAACCATTGCACAGTGAAGTCAGTGGGGCCCTCCCCTGCTGCACCACGGTCGCCTGGGCGGGGACTCCCCGGCCTGCTAGCACCTTGTCTGTGCTGTGTGACAGCTAACAGGTGACCCTAGGCACTTGACACCCTTCAGCGGCCTCAGTGTGCCAGCTGGCCAAGGGCTGGCTCGGGGGGCAGACCTGGAATCCACACCAGGCAGTCTGATTCCAGGCCTCTTGCCCACTGTGTTCTGCCCTGGGAAGCAGAGCCAGGCAGTGGGCAGAGGGCCGCAGGGTGGCCCGGACATCACCCTGTGTTCCCCACCGTCGTGGCGGGTACTAAATCTACAAAAATGTTTGATGGAGGAGTAGTGGATGGAGTGCCGGAGCTTGCCATGGCCTCAGGCTGTTTCCTTTCCTACTGTCCTGTCTGGTCCTGGCCACTCGGCCCAACAGAAAATCCAAGGGACGTCCCAAGTGGCTGGCCCCTCACCCCAACATCATCCGGGTTTTCCGCGCCTTCACCTCGTCTGTGCCACTGCTGCCGGGGGCCCTGGTCGACTACCCTGACGTGCTGCCCCCACGCCTCCACCCTGAGGGCCTGGGCCACGGACGGACGCTGTTCCTCGTCATGAAGAAGTGAGTGGCGGGCACGGCAGGCCCCAGGGTGCCCCTGCGGGAGGACGGCCGAGCAGAGGGACAGGGCTGCCTGGGGAGCTGTTCCCTTTGGGGTGGCCGTCATGGAAGAAAGCTCCTGGGCGACTGTCCCTGCTCTGTGGCTGGCCTTCCCCCCCTCACCCTCTGTCCCGCCCAGCGATGCTGTAATGGGCGTCTCAGTGACCGCGTGAGCCCAACATCCTAAGGGACAGAAGGACAGCTCCGGGAAGGGGAAGAGGGGAGGCGGAGCCTAACGGTGATGTGCCCTCGGCACCAGCTACCCCTGCACCCTGCGCCAGTACCTTCGCGTGAACACCCCGAGCCCCCGCCTGGCCACGGTGATGACCCTGCAGTTGCTGGAGGGCGTGGCTCACCTGGTGCAGCAGGGCATCGCACACAGAGACCTGAAGTCTGACAACATCCTCGTGGAGCTGGACGCAGGTGGGCGCAGCGGGGATCTGCAGGCACGGGGAACCCCCGGGGCCCCCCTGTTCAGCCCTCTGGGGAGCAGACACCCATCGAGGCCTCGCCAACACAGGGTGGGGGGCGGGGCACGCCAGTCACTGACCTCTGCCCGCTTTGTCCTCCCAGACGGCTGTCCCTGGCTGGTGATCACCGACTTCGGCTGCTGTCTGGCTGACGAGCACGTCGGCCTGCAGCTGCCGTTCACCAGCTGGTACGTGGATCGGGGTGGCAACGGCTGCCTGATGGCTCCAGAGGTGAGTCCCGCCACGTGCCCTCGGTGTCACCGGTTCCCACCGAGTGACCGGGCGAGACCCGAGCCCTGGGGCTTACCCCACACCCCCACCTCTGAGCCATGAGCTGGCACAGGCACCTTCCCTTTGCTTTAACCTGCCCCGAGCCAGTTCTTCCGGGCCGAGCCGCAGCTCACTCAGCTCCTTCCCAGGGGCCGGGGGACCTGCCCGCAGCACGACTCGGCTCCTGCTTTCTGATCAGGTGTCCACGGCCTGTCCTGGCCCCAGGACGGTGATTGACTACAGCAAGACCGACGCCTGGGCAGTGGGCGCGATTGCCTACGAGATCTTCGGGCTCGCCAACCCCTTTTACGGCCAGGGCAGGGCCCGCCTCGAGAGCCGCAGTTACCAGGAGGCCCAGCTGCCTGCCCTCCCTCCGTCAGTGCCCCCGGACGCCAGGCAGCTGGTGAAGTCCCTGCTCCAGCGAGAGCCGGCCAAGGTGAGGCTGCGCCCAGGCTCCTGGGGGGCTGTATGGACAGCAGCTGCATTCACACCCCGGGCCAAAGGAGGGGTTTGGCCCAGCACCGCAGGGACGCACAGATTCCCTCTCATACAAAGGCCCCATACAGAGAGCTGGAAGATTTCATGGGGGGGGGGGGTAAGCCACTAAATCAGTAGAGTTCTCAAATCCTTTTTATCTATTTGAAAGTTAAAGAAAGGGAGATCTTCCACCTGCTGATTCACTCCCCAGATGACCGCCAATAGCCAGCACTGGGCCAGGCCACAGCCAGGAGCCAGGAGCTGCTTCCAGGTCTCCCATGTGGCTGCAGCGGCCCAAGCACTCGCGCTATCTTCCACTGCTTGCCCAGGCCATTAGCAGGGTTGGAAGTGGAGCAGCCGGGACTCAAACCTGTGCCCATTTGGTGCCAGTGTCACAGCCTGGGGCTTTACCTGCTACCCTGCAGCACGGCCCCCAGAGTTCTGGAATTCTAACAGTTCTTTTCTTGGCTTTAATTGCCTTGTCACTGGGGCGGGTGTTGTGACACAGCGGGCAGTGTCCGCCTCCCGCGTCGAGTGCTTGGTGTCAGTCCAGGCTTCTCTGCGCCTGACAGCTCCCTGTAACGCACCCGGGGGCAGCAGATGATGGCCTGGCTACTCGGGTCCCTGCCACCCACGTGGGAGACCCAGCCGTGGGCCTAGGCTCCCAGCTTTGGCCTGGCCTATGCCTGGCTACTGTGAGCATTTGGGGACTGAACCAGCAGACGGAAGATCAGTCACTCGTGCGTGTGGGTGTGCTCTCTCCTCTCTGTCACTCTGCTTTCAAGTAAATAAACACAAGAGAGACGCCAAGACAGATCTTCCTTCCACTGGTTCACTCCCCCAAGTGGCCACAACGGCCAGGGCTGGGCCGGGCCACAGCAGGAGCCTGGAACTCCGTGTGGGTCTCCCATGTGGGTGGCAAGTTCTTGGGCCACCTGCTGCTGCTTCCCAGCACTCGGGCAGGGAGCTGGGTCAGCAGTGGAGCGGCTGGGACCCAAACCAGCGCTCCTGAGATGCTGGCGTTGGCAGGCAGCAGCTTAACCCGCTGTGCCATTTCGCCGGCCCCCAGACAGGTCTTTTTTGAAAAGTCACTAAGGGGGAAAAGGATGCAGTTTTCAGAAATGCTTGACAATGGGACTCGTGGCTGATGGAAGCAGCCAGACCTAATCAGACGGATGGGGACACTGCAGAGCAGGTCTGGACGTTGTGAAATCAACATTGACGGAATACAGTCAAGTCTGAGCTGGGGGCCAGCCTGGTGCACAGCCGAGGGACGCCTGCCACCAACCGCTCACGGCCCACGGGAGGTGTCGGTGAAGGTTTAATAGTTAACAGCCCCACCTGGAGTGGTGAGGCCACCCACACGTGTGCTACCCCCCACCCCCACCCCGTGCTGCACACATGGAGGGACAGCAGCCAGGATCTGTCAGCGGGGAGAGGGTAGGGCTGGGCAGCTTCGGGCTCCCAAGCCTCAGTTTCCCTTCCTGTCGCAGAGGCCGTCCGCCCGAGTTGCCGCCAACGTGCTGCACCTAAGCCTGTGGGGGGAGCAGATTCTGGCGCTGAAGAACCTGCAGCTGGACCGGGTGGTGGGCTGGCTCCTCCAGCAGTCAGCCGCCGCCATGCTGGCCGGGAGGAGCTGTGTGGAGACGAAGATGAAGGTGCTCTTTCTGGCCAGCCTGGAGTGTGAGGCGCTCTGCCAAGCGGCCCTGCTGCTCCGCGCGTGGAGGGCGGCCCCGGGGCAGCTCTGCGCGTAGCTGGGGACGACCAGGGAGCCTGGCAGCATCTGTGTGGTGCAGGTCTGTGCATGCTGAGGGTGGGCTCCTGTGTGAGCGGGGAGGAGGTCGGAGATGGATGGCAGGGGGCTGGGCAGCCACTGGGGAGGCCACGTTCAGAGAGTGGCCTCACCCCAGCTGTGTGACTCGGAACGGGTACTGTGAGCCGTGTGCACCTTGGTTCTGGCTAACAAGACTAGACACTGCTCTAAACAAGGGTGTGGTCAGCTTTCCACAGAGACAGCTTTCCTCATAGACAAAAGCAGCCATGAACACACAGGGTGCAGCCAGGCTGCAGAGGGTCCACACCGAAGGCAGCAGCTGTCCTGGCCAGTGCGGCTGTGACACTGGCCTCACCCACACAGGCCACCTGGGCGGAGGCGCACACTTGCATGAGGCAGTGTATTCGGTGGGAGGCCTGCAGGGGCTGGGGGTCGGGTGGACCACGCACGCAGTCTGTGTCAACAGCCCGGTGTGTTGGAGAGCGCATCGCTCCTCCTGCTACCACATGAATCCTGCGCAGCGGCAGGGAGAAACGCCGTGGGAGTTAGCTCTGGTGTTCTAGGCGTGCTGGTGCCCTACTGTGCAACATTAAATGCAGTTACAACTGCAGAAACGAGTGCGGCTGGACTGAATGTTGCTTCCGTTCTTACACCCTGATGTGAGAAGATTTCGCAGGGCAAGGTCACCGGGGAAGACTGCGATTTATGTGTTTTCTGGGAACACAGCTATTGCCTAAAGCAAGGTGGACGTCAAAGTCAGCCAGGCAAGCTGCCGCTCGATTTTGTATCTCAGCGGTCAGCACCCCGGCAGTGTATCCGCCCTTGCAAAGCCAGGACGCGGCCATGTCGTGGCTGAGGAGCAGAGCTCCGTCTCGGGCAGCAGCGAGAAACCAGACTCCGGAATGCAGCCGCTGGCGACAGGGACAGCACGGGCCGCTGGCTCGGGGGCAGCTCTCCTTTTATTTGCGACAAGCGCCCACGCCTGCAGGGTGTCACCCGGTAGCGCAGGCTGAAGAACCACACTGAAACGATTCCCTGCCCCCACCCCCATCTCCCGCTGAGGTAAGGCCGTGCGCTTCCCACGGCTTAAAAAATAAAAACCCCACCCCGACAAACCCCACGTGCACGCTGCTAGGAGTCCCAGGCTGAGGCCCGTCAGTCTGACTTCTCCTTCTCCTTCATGTGCAAGAAGACCACGCTGAAGATGAAGAGTCCCACCATCATGGAGAAGGCGCTGGCGTAGTAGGGATAGGCCGAGGGGATGAAGCGCTCGTACTGCGTGTGCTGCAGCGGCCGCACCGACACCTGCAACGGGACAGCGTGCCAGGCCCCGGCCGCCGGGAGGCCCGAGCGCGGCCCGCGCAGGCCCAACACGGGCCCACGGCCTACCTGCGTGGACGAGTACAGGTGCGTGTAGCCCAGCCGGTTGTAATCCACTTTAAACTGGAACACGCCGTAGACGTCGGGCAACTTGAACTGGACGCTGTATTTGCCACCTGGGGAAAGAGCCGGCACAAATAGCCAAAGGCGTGTCCAGAGCGCGTGTCGCGGGCTGCGTGAGCGAGCGGGGCCGGGCCGCAGCACACCGCCTCCCCCGCACCCACCTTTCCTCTTCAGGAAGGTCCTCACGAAAGGATCGATGCGGACGAACTCCAGCTGGATGTCATCGCCGTCGAAGGGGACCCACCTGCCATTCGAGAGCTGCTCGATGACAATGCTGTACTCCTGGGGCGGGGGTGGGGGCGGGGGGGAGGTGGGTCAGCCGCAGCGACTGCACACAGGGCTGAGCCTGAGGCCCTGCCCACCACCCACCCCACATCCGTGCTGGCCGCAGGCCCAGGTCCCTTAGTCCGTGTGCCACCGAAGTTGACCCAAGCCACTCAGCTCCCAGGGCCAGGCTCCGCACCTCGACTGACCCCAGGGGTAGAGGTCACCATCCTTAGTCAGGCCCCTTGGGCCCTGCTCAGAGGGTTCAAGGAACGCGTCTGAGCTGAGCAGAAGCACCCCAGCCAGGCCTTGGGGCTCTTACCACCAGGTCAGTCACGGTGTAGGCGTTGGGGGGAGAGGTCTCGCCCACTCGATGATGGGACACGGGCCCCACGCGGAGGACACCCTCCTCCTTGAACACCCAGCGGGACAGGGCCACAGCCAGCTCGTAGTTGCCCGTCTGTGGATACCTGCGGAGGGAAAGGAGAGGCTCGGGCACCACGGCCGGCGTCTCCTGTGCCACCAGTCGGAGGGGACGGAGAACAGCGTGACGTGTGGGTGGCGCTGCTCCGGCTGTTACCTGCAGTAAGCTTTCTAAAGGGAACGTGGCGAGGGCCGGGATGGGTCATTACCACAACAGTCTGGAGCAATGATACCAGTAGTGACGTCATCAAGCCATCTGCAAGCCCCTGAAGATACTCAGTACCCCCGCCCCAGACCCTGCAGGCCACGCCCCCAGCCCAGCCCCCACCTCTGGGCACCGGGCGTGGCCTTCTGCACTGCTGAGTTGAAGAAGGCGTCGCTGAAGAAGTCGAGGGAGCCGCTGAAGATGACGCGGGCATTGTTCCTGGCCTGGAGCCCAGCGATGAGGAGGGTGTTCTTCCCCACGGCGTGCGGGTACTGGCAACAGAACGGGGCCGTCAGCCACGCGGCGCCAGGGAGAGGGCAAAGCCGTCAGGCCCTAGGGCAGGACAGCAGATGGCACCCGGGGAGGACCCTGAGGTCCAGCCGCCGTGCCCGCACCCACGCTGCCACCTCGCTCCTGTTTTCAGACAGAAAGCCCGCCATTGGGCCTAGAGGCCGCAGGCCGCAGGGCTGCCAAGGCCCTCACCTGGGTGATGGGTTTATCCGGGAAGAAGGAGTAGGAGGTAGAGGAGCCCGTCAGGATGTCCAACACCAGAGGGTTGTCGGGGTCGGCCACCATCCTGTGGGGGAAGGACAGCAGCCTGAGGGGGACCCAGGACCTGACCCCCGAGGGCCCCCCTCCCCCCAGGCCACCCTTCTCCACAGGCGACGCTGCCGCAGCTACGGGCCTGACTTGGGATCAGACACCGACCTCCTCTGTATCCTCCGGGGCCAGGGGTGCCCCCAAAGAACCCCAGCTGTGGCCTGGCTCCCAAAACTGAAAGCTCCGGCTGTGTCCGCTCACTCACCCAACTCCTCGGAAGAGGATGGGATTCAGGGACGCCTTCCCCACAATGGTCGGGGCCTTCAGCAGGTTCTCGGTGTCGGCCACGATGAGTGTGTGCTGCAGAGGTCAGACAGGGGTCAGGAAAAGGTTGTCCCGCGCCAGGGAGGCCTCCTGGCTCCCTCTTGGTTTCTGGGCTAAGCCGAGCTTTGCTGTGCGTGCCTGAAACTTACCTGGCCGAGGTCCGAGACGTCGTAGTTGTGGTGGTCGATGACGGCTGTTTTCTCCTCATCAAACTCAATCCCGCACTCACTGCCCAGCTCTCGAAGCGGGTCACCTGCACAGCCCCCACAGGTGCCTGGCTGAGCCCCCGCAGGTGCCTGGCTGAGCCCACGCGGGGCCACCTGTCCTGCTTCCTCAGGACACCCTCCGCTGGTCGGCCCTGGCGCCTGAGCTGCATCAAGCAGGGCTTGGCCCTGGGGGGCCCCGGGGACAGCATCTGAACTGACCCAACCACCACCGCACCCTTGCCCTCCTCCAACACGCAGAGTTGGCTCCGCACGAAAAGCCCCTCCCCAGGAACGCAGCGCCCTCACCCAGGGAGCTGGGCCCCTGCCGCCTCTGCTCCGTGCTGTCACTCCACCGAGACACCCACCCAGGCACCCATTAGGAGTAGAGATTTTTAGAAATCGGCTGGTTTTTAGCAAATGGACAGCCTGGCCAGGCTGTTCACTGCCGCAGCAGAGTGGCCAGTACGTGGGGCTCCTGACACCGCTCTCTACTTGTGGGTGCCTTGGAAATCTGAGGAAACAGAAATCTGTCCAGTGCTTTGGTGCTGTCCAATTAGCCTCACCCGACTGGCTACTCTTTCCAGAGGGAAGAGCCCAGTAGGAAGGGTGCCCAGCCTTTACAGATCCGCACCCCACTGTCGCTGGGAGGGTCCCCAGCCTTTATAGATCCGCACCCCACTGTCGCTGGGAGGGTCCCCAGCCTTCACAGATCCGCACCCCACCGTCACTGGGAGGGTGCCAGGCCTCACAGATCCGCACCCCACTGTCACTGGGAGGGTGCCAGGCCTCACAGATCCGCACCCCACTGTCACTGGGAGGGTGCCAGGCCTCACAGATCCGCACCCCACCGTCACTGGGAGGGTGCCAGGCCTCACAGATCCGCACCCCACCATCGCCGGTCACAGGACGGCAGAGCAGGGCCTGGCTGTCAAACACTCTGCAGTTCTGTCGCTGACTCCCTGGCCAGGTGTCCCCCAACTCCTTGGGGAGATGGACAGCACCGGAATGTCCCAGGTCAGCCTTACCAATGTCTGAGCTGGCGGCCACCAGGACGCTGCCCCCGCCGTCAATGAAGGCACTGATGGTCTCCACGTTGATGTTGCCTCCGAAATCTGAAAGAAGGCACCGGACACGGTGACCCAGGAGGCTTCCCCTCTGCTGGCTAAAATCTGAGGGACTCCAAATCACCCACAGCCAATCCCAGGGCAGCGCCCCCTGCAGCCCAAATAGAGAGCGGGTTTCTCTATTTTACTCCATAAAGGGCAAGCGCCCACCGATCCACAGCAGATTCAAATAATGGCTCAGATTTAAATTCTGGTCAAACTTCCTAGTCAAACACGTAATTCCATTTGTCAATTTAGCTGCACATACTTCAAGTCACATATAAAATCGCTGGGGGCCGGCACTGCGGCATAGTGGGCTAAGCCTCTGCCTGTGGCACCAGCATCCCATGTGGACACCGGTTCCAGTCCTGGGCCTGCTCCTCTCCTATCCAGCTCTCTGCTATGGCCTGGGAGAGCAGCGGAAGATGACCCAAGTCCTTGGGCCCCTGCACCCGCGTGGGTGACCTGGAAGGAGCTCCTGGCTTCAGATAGGCCCAGCTTCCAGCCATTGCGACCATTTGGGGAGTGAACCAGCAGGTGGAAGACCTCTCTCTGTCTCTCCCTGTCTGTAACTATCAAATAAAAAAAGAAAAAATGCAGTCGTCCCTGGGGCCGGTGTTGTGCAGCTGGCGAAATGCAGCCACCCCTCGGCACCCAAGAGGAGGAGTCGGGACCCTGTGGCGACCAAACTCCCGGGATGCTTCCGTCCCTGGCGCAGCAGGGGCAAGCCCGCCCACACCCTCCCGTGCTCCTGCTCCTCTAGATCACTGAGCCCGACCGCTGCCGGAACGCAAAGCCGCTTTGTGTAGGCACAGTGACCAGTGTCCAAGTCTGAACACAGGCAGTGCGGATGCCATCGGGTTCGGAACCCTTTGCCCCTGGGTGTGGGCCTGTGTATGTGGCGGGCCGCGTGGGGTCCCGTGGAAGTGCTACACTCACTCAGACTCATCACCCGCGCTGAGGCCATGTCGGGTCCCTGCGGCTTCCGAGGCCCCATCACTCCCACTTAGTTGTGTGAGATGCACATCTGAAACCGCTTGCAAACCTGGGGATGGCGCTGTCACGGCAGATCACCCACAACAGAAACCCAGCACACCCGGGTCTTCACTTCAGCATTCCTAACTGCTGCTCTGGGGCCACAGCCACCCCAGCACTCTGGCCTCCAACTCCAAAGGCACATGCGGCTGGGAGCGACAGGAGCTCAGGGGAGGCTCAGACCCTCGCTCTGTCCAAGCGGAGACCAGGGACTTGCTGGGCCGCTCCGCCCCAGGCTGTGATCTGCAGTGGCCACGTCCAGGCCGCGCGCCGTCCCCTCCACGCGGGACGCCAGGGCCCCGGCTTCCGCCGCGCGTGGCCGCACCGGACTCACGGTCCTCAGCTGCGTCTTCCAGGGCGTGGGCGCCCGGGCCCGGGCCCGAACCGGACGCTCCCCTCTCCCTGCCGAGCGGCGGCCCATGCCGGGAGCCAGCCACGACCAAGACCCGGAAGAAAGCGCTCGCCTGGCGATGGGCCTCGGCCCCCGGCTCCCTTACCTTCCACCGAGGGGGAGAAGATGACGAGGTTGTCGTAGAGGAACTCCCCGTACTTAATGAGGGACAGGCTGGGGTCATCGGCGCTCTTGAAAGTGAGCTCAAAGCCGCGGTCTAGAAGAGAAGCCAGCGGGGAACTGAGGCACACGGGACGCAGAGGGAAAGCCCTGCCGCCGACAGCGCGCCCCCGGCCCACCAGTCCGGCCCTTCCGACCCCCGGCGCTCAGCCGCCGTCCCCTAGGAGCCCGCGCTCACCTTTCAGGCTGCGGAAAAAAAGCGAGTGCGTCTCCCGCAGGTTGAGGTTGTCCAGCAGCACTAAGGTGCGGGGGCCGCTGGCGAAGGCCGAGCCAAGCAAGGGCAGCAGCACCCACAAGAGCGACCGAGCTCGGGCCGCGATGCCGGGGTCCATGTTCCTCCTCCAGCCCAGCACCTGGACACCGGAAGTGCCCCCCTCCACGGCCGCGAGCGGCGATTGGGCGGCCGTGGAGCGCCACCCGGAAGTGATCAGGCTACGCGGGGTCGGGGGCGGCCCGAGCGGCGGCTTTGGCGGCAAGGAGCCGGGAGCCCGCCGGAAGCGCCCCGGTTGGAGATGGAGTCTCGGGAGCCTATTGGTGGAAGGGGCGCGAGGCCCCGCCCCTCAGCGGAAAAGGCTCAATCCGAGAGAGACAGCTCTGCAGCCGCAGCCAATCAGCAAGGCCTAGTGGCCCTCGTTCCTGCCCTGGTCCCGAGCCCGCCCGCTACAGGACCCCGTGGTCCCTGCGGCTTGCTTATTAGACTGCTTTTGCCCCCGGCCTTACCGTGCCGGAACGACTTTGGGGCCACCCTGACCACCTCCGTGGTCCTCACTACTCTAGGGCAGCGTCGGGACTAGAACCCAGGCGCCACCACCATCTCTGGGACCCAAGGAGTCGGGAAATGAATCGGGAACTGGGGCACTTGGAGCCGTCGCCGATGCCTGCCCCTGCCCGGCGTGGTGTCCCAGGCTGGATGAGTAGTGGGCTGGCCGAGCGAGTCTAATCCAAACCCGCTGTGCCGGTGCACTGTTCGGTGGGGTCTCAGGCCTCACGCCCTGCCCCGTCGCTGGCCCTGCAGGTCCCTGTCCTGGGCTTCCCTCCGCACAGCCCGGGCTCCCAGCCGCTGCCTTTGGCTCTCCAGAGCACGCCGTCCGCTCCCCAGGGCCCGCGCCCCTCGTGGAGCCCCACCCAGGGCAGCCCCCTTCACTAAGGCGCTTTGTTCCCCACACAGACCCGATGTCGCCCCCCGGACCCGGTATGCCCTGCGGACTGCCTCCTCCAAGAGCTCCCAGGCCCAGGCGCGCGGCTTTGGGGCCTGCCACCGTATTGATACGCCACAGGGCAGGAGGGAGGCGCGCCAAGGACCCGCAGCTTTGCAGCCCCTGAGAGGCAAAGCTTAGCCCCTTGTCGTCTGTGTGATCCGTGTGAAAGGAGGCTTAGGGCCACGCCTCTTCCCTCAGATTATACTCCCTGAGGGGCGGGCCTGGGACTCTGTGGGCAGGGGGCGGCCCCCGGGTGAGTTCCGCAGGGCGGGCAGGGGGCGGCTCCCGGGTGAGTACCGCAGGGCGGGGGTGGGCGGGGGCGGCTCCCGGGTGAGTACCGCCG